CGTTTCCAGCAGACTGAGGGACATGATCCTTCCCACCCTGCTCAGCACTAGTGAGGCACATCTGGAGTGCTGGGTCCAGTTTGGGCTCCCTGGTACAAGAAAGACATGGACATACTAGCACGAGGCCAGTGGAAGCCACAGAGGTGAGTAAGGGAGGGGAGGGAGCATCTTTCATATGAGGAGAGGCTGAGAGAGCTGGGACTGTTCACAGCCTGGAGAGAGAAGCTCGGTGCAATCTTATCAATGTGCATAAATATCTGATGGAGGGTATAAAGCAGACGGAGCCAGGCTCTTCTCAGTGGTGCCCAGTGACAGGACAGAAGGCAATGTGCACAAGCTGAAACACTGGAAGTTCCCTCTGACCATAAGAAAAAAAGGAAGAAAATCTTCTTCACTACCACTACAGGTGGTTGAACACTGGCACAGGCTGCCCAGAGAGATTGTGGAGTCTCCATCCTTGGAGATACTCAAAACCCAATGGGACACAGCCCTGAGCAACCTGCTGTAGCTGACCCTGCTCTGAGCTGGGGGTTTGGACTAGATGATCTCCAGAGGTGCCTTCCCACCTCAGCCATAGTCTTCTGTCCGATTTGCTTGGATGAAAGGCACTGTGTATGTTGTTCTTTCAAAATACCAGCACTAGAAAACAAACCCATCAACTACAGACTCGTGTTCCGTAGTATGACAGTAAATTAAGTGACAGTCTTTTAGAAGTGCAAGTGGTTAATTGGATACCAGAGATGAGTCACACATGACTCATCCCTGGCGGGACACAGCGATGGCTGAACAGACAGTGGTGCAATGGGGAAGCTCGGCTGCCCATGAGGTCTCCTGGATGCCGAGACACCAGGAAAGCAGGGCCCTCTCACAGACGGATAGCTGTGCAGTGAACAGCCCAGAAAGGGAGATGGCTCCTACGGAGTTCACTGTCACTCCACTGTTAGTCTGTGAACGGAAACGCACGCAACTGGGACAAGTGAAGGGTTTTGATCTCACAAATAGAAAAGAAAAAAAAACTCTGACATTTAAATGGCCACGAGCTGGAGAAGACAGGAGGAAGGTCCAACATGTAGCCTGCAGCGTGGGATCATAACATAATAGTAAGCATGAAATCATTAAGATTTTAACGAGAAGGGATAGAAAGAGCATCTGGAGATGGACACAGAGCATAAATAAGAGCAGCTGTTACAGCAACCACACAGCACATTGGGGATTTCATCCAGTTCCAAGAATGCCACTGCCTGGACACCAAAAAACACCTAATCCAGCAGTTCAGATTTTTTTTTTTTCTTCTCCTTTGGCTCCCTAGCAGAAGCTGCCACTGCCCTTCTGTCCTCATTTCACCCTGCAGTCCTCAGCACCCTGGGGAAGGCGGGGTGCAAGAAGAAGGGACTGCTCATGTTTGCCAAGCCTGTGGAAACAAAGTGGGGATAAATGCTGAGGTACCTCAGTGGTTTCTCCCTGCACTGCCTGCTTCCTCTCCACAACTCTCCTGGAGCCTTAGTGCACACTCTAGTGATAGCATCATGTTTAAGGATTTATTCCGCTGCTGTTTTAAATTTAAATTTAGGGAAGTGATCGTCCCCCTGTACTCGGCACTGGTGAGGCCGCACCTTGAATACTGTGTTCAGTTTTGGGCCCCTCACTACAAGAAGGATGTCGAGGTGTTGGAGCGTGTCCAGAGAAGGGCAACGAGGCTGGTGAGGGGTCTGGAGAACAAGTCTTCTGAGGAGCGGCTGAGGGAACTGGGGTTGTTTAGCCTGGAGAAAAGGAGGCTGAGGGGAGACCTCATCGCTCTCTACAACTACCTGAAAGGAGGTTGTAGCAAGGTGGGTGTCAGTCTCTTCTCCCAAGTAACAAGCGATAGGACGAGAGGAAATGGCCTCAAGTTGCGCCAGGGGAGGTTTAGATTGGCCATGAGGAAAAATGTCTTTACTGAAAGAGTGGTTAAACCTTGGAACAGGCTGCCCCGGGGAGTGGTTGAGTCACCATCCCTGGAAGTATTTAAAAGACGGGTAGATGAGGCGCTTAGGGACATGGTTTAGTGGGCATGGTGGTGTTGGGTCGACGGTTGGACTCGATGATCTTAAAGGTCTTTTCCAACCTTAATGATTCTATGATTCTAAATACAATTATAGTAAGGGTAACTTAGGGTTTTTTACTACAAGAAGGGGAGAAAGGTAGGTCAAGCAGGAATTGTGCCTAACAATCAGCTGTGAGAGTTTAAGCCCACCCTGCGAAGAGCAGGAGAGAGAAGCTAACGGCTGAGGCATCCCTGCACTGCTCCACAGCAAACTACAGAAGGTAACTGAGCTCCTGCCATCTTTCTGCCCATCATTACCCACCAGCCAAAAGATGCAGGAGGTTGCTGAGGACCTGCTCTGCCTGCCAGAGTGCTGGGGGCTGAGGGAGGGCTGAGCTAACACAAATCGACAGAGCCAATAATGTGATCTCTTTCTTGGAACATTTTTTAGCTACGAGAAAACCACCACCTCCACACATAGTACCACATCCCTCAGCAAAACCTTAGCTCAGAGCAGAGGATTTCCACCTTTTTCTCACACCTCAGGATTTCTTCTCATCTGTTACCTGGGGTTTGTACCACACAGCAAGTGCTATAAGCAGCACAGCAGGCAGGGGCATAAAAATTTCCCATATATAGTCTGCTGTACACCTGAGTTATATAGGTTATACATTGAAATGAAGATTTGTACAACTAAAGCTTATACAAATGGTAGAAATTGCCATTGAGGGCCTATCTTACATACTATAAAGGAGAAGAAACAAGCAAGTAACAAAAAAAATACCAGTTTTGGGCACCAGGCTGAAAGGCCAGATCGTCTGGCAGCTCCACCAACAGGCAGAATCAACACAGGCAGAATCCTGTACATGGTTTATATTCTGTTGTAAAACTTACCGTAACACTGCTGGCTCATGCACTCCTCACCTTCCACTCATCTCAGCCTACGGGCATTAACAGCCTTGCTGCCCAGATCACTTCATACTCCAACCCTTCGGTCCACACTCTGCACTTGGACACTGTCAAGTCACCAAGGACTCACGGTTTGTACTGTGATCCGTGGAAACAGGTTTTCTAATAGCACTGTGCACATACTGTATAGCAGACATACAACAGCTCCTGCAGAATCACAGCTGGCTCATTACTGCTTACGCTTGGTTCAAATGAAATACTTCTCTCGCCTGTAACTGGCATTTAACTGCTGGCCCCACGCCATAAGCCCAGATGCCATTATGCTTTTAGCATTAGACACGTAAGAGCTACTTCTTCATTTAAAAGCCAAGAGAAGCCCTCTCACCTTTTGCATACAGAACCAACAATCCCCTCATAACTGCTGTTGACAGCTCCATAATAAAGTACTTCTAGAGCATGAAGGTTATCCTCTTCAACACAAGTTACCAAAACGTGAAAGGCAACCTAACGCTGGGTTCTTTGGAGCCAAATGAGATTGGGGAAGCAGGACAAAGGAAAAAAACAGAAGCTGCTGTCAAATACAAATACTGACATTTGACAGACTCGCTCACTGCTTCAACACCAAAATATCAGCCCCAAGTTTTAAATAGCAGTTGTGAGTAAAGTACATAAATCTCTTGCCATGTGTCCTATGAAACTAAAGCCAGTTTTCAAGAGACTTTTGTCCCTCAAACTCCTTGAGCATTTATCCTAGTTAGATATCAGCACAATGCGATGATTATTATGAGTATAAATAGCCAAACTGCTGCACAACAAAGCAAGAGGGGATGGCTCAGCATTCTCAGTATAAAGAGGAGACATTGCTTACTTAGGGCTGAAATCGTTTCAGCTGAACCAGCAGAGCTATATATATATTGGTTATTCATTCCTTGGATCTGAGAGTTAGGGTCTGAGGGATTACAGTGCTTTCACTCCAGCTTGACCGCCATGGGGCATTTCTCTTACGGTTCTTTCCACCTGAACAGACAGTTACTTACAAGCCAGTGTTTTACTGGAGAGCACAATTAGCAGAGAATGTCTAAAAGACAAATGACACTGAAAACAAAGCAAAGGGTACCAGGTAAAAGGACCTCCTAGTTCCTCTGCTCTTTCCTACCACAGAAGGTTTAGGAATATCTTGTGCTACCTGCACCTATGCTAATAAAGGTAATGTTATCAGGTACTGAAATCTGCCCTTAGAAACAGCAATCCACTTATAATGGGCTATCAGGGACTGCAATAAGCTTCCCGATTCTGGAATATCAGGTGAGCTGTCAAATTGTCGTAAAAAAAAATAATGTCCCAAAGCTACCTATGCTGCTTCAGTTAATGAACTGAGGGAAAAGGTCTACTAGGAGCAATATGAAAAGGCGATTTTATCACCTGATCACAATGGTAAATAAATCCCTCTGATTTACAGAAAAAGCTTCCTTTTACATTGTTAAGCCAGCAGGTACCAATCACTGCTCACACTGGAAAAGACAGCAAATACAGCCCTCCCCGCTTTGCTACAAACTGGATCTGCCAGGCAGACAGTTCCAGCTGGCGCCAAGAGTCACAACCTCCAAGGTACATTTGTGCTCATCTACTGCTACCTCCCAGCCATTGCAGAAGTCACTTCTAAGACCTTGCTTAAAGCTGGAGATGAACTGCAAAATAAAATACTGGTTGTTCCTCTGTCAGAAGACGGCTGCATCACTCCCAGGACATTCATGACAGAGATACCCCTGGATATAAAACACAGTTTGGGGAGAACAGCCTTACTACAGAAACTCAGCTACTTGCTACAAAAGTCAATGTGACAACTTGGGCTCAAGTTTTTAGATGCTTCCACAGAAAGAGACCAATGATTCCCAACTAGCAATAACATCGCTTTTAAAGAGATATAGTAAAACAGAAACACACTATAACATACTAAGGGAACTGTTGCTCTTTTGGTGAATAATGGCACATCCACTTTAAGTGACCAGGATAAACCAGCTCTGCTTTTTGTTTGTTTTTACTGAAGGCTGAGCTTCCTTCCACTCCCACAGATTCTCTTCCCTCCACAGCTTCACAGAGGCTGCTATCTGCTAATAAGTGACAATATCATCTTCCTTTTTGCCTACTCATCAGCCAGAGGTGGCTGGCTGAGTCTAATCAGGTGGCAGCCACTACTACAGGCAATGCAGTGTCTTCCGCTGCACCACAAATCCTGGCCAATTACAAGCACTTTGCGTTTGATCACACCAGGTATTCAGAGTGAGAACGGAGCTGTTGGTAAGCACAGGGGTCTTTCAAAGGTTGCAGAAGACTGCAACTGGCAGCATCCCACAAACGTGGCAGATACATATGGGGCAGCAATGCACATCGCAGTGGGCTGTTAATCTCACCACTCTTAATGCGTTCCTCAGCTCTGCTTTTGCAGCCTGGGAGCTCACACATTCATTCTGGCAGCAGACTGCTGCTATAGCTTTCTCTTAGCTCCAGTGTTACAAATAACCTGAGAATCTTTGGATTATCACTGCATTCAAAAGAGGACTCACAGCAGCCTGCTTATTAATCTTTCCTTGTGGCTAGAAGCAAATGAAAGCTAAATGGGGAGTAAAACAGCAAGAAAAAAAAAGAGAAAAAAAAAGGGCTCTTTTGCTGTCCATTCTTAGTAGCATCATAGCTTTTTTTCTTTACAGGTTCTTTCCCTCCCTTCCTGACAGAGAGAAGACGTGACCTAGTTGTAAAGGCCGCTAATAGCAAGATGGTATTGCACTTATGGTGGGGGGTGGGGTGTCACCCAACTAAAGTAATAAGGTCTAAATCCAGAAACATCACAGATGCCACAATGGCAAGTAGTAAAGCATCCAGCCCCGAGGCTAAAATCCAGAACCCTGAATTATGCAGTGAGGCTCCCTGTGGAGGGTACACAAGGCATGAGGCACTTTGGAATGGCACCTGAACAACCAGCCCACCAAGTGGAGAAGCTGAATTAAGAGGAAAACGCTGAAGGGAAGATGAGAAAAAAAATCTGCAACAGCTAAGCTTCAGTGCCCCATTAGGCCACTGTTCCACAGCCCAGTACCAAACACAGACTACGCCAGCAGAACAAATGCCCTCGAGTGCTATTGCCAGGGACGTAGCATTTGCAATAGTGTCATACCTCATCCCGCCCACTGTTGTATACCCATTTTGAGCTAGAGCACAGGGGAGACCGATTGATCTTTCTCTGCAACTGAAGGGGATCTGAACCCAACACCTCCCATTCCTGAGGAGCACACCCCAACCATGGTGCTCACCCTTTGCTCCCATCCTATTCACCAGTCAGAGAAGGTGGGGGGAAGTGGGAAGAGCACTACTTGTGCCTTCCAACAAGTAAGGTGGGTGAAAAAAGGTGCTTCTTAGTTGTAGTCACTGCTCAAAAAAATTCTTACACCTTTTACATAAAACATTCCCAGGGTAAAAAGCACCAACAATTTCTCCAGAGGACGAGAGCACAGGATTCCCCTCCCTTTCCCTCTACCTCACCCACATTAACGTACCAACTATTATGTTGGATCTTATCCTTGCTCTTGTTTTCTTTACTCTGGCCCAAAGCATCACGAAGCAAATATCCTGCGCACGTGCACACACAGAGATTCTTCCTTCTCCAATTATCTTTCTAAGAAGCTTCCACAGTAGCTTATACAGAGTTCGATTTGGCGGGCACTTTCTGAAAAAGAATATTGTGTGCCTACCATATCAAGCTCTTCACAGATGGGCAAAAGGAGGTTAGTTAATTCATCTTGTTCAGACTAGCATGGGACCTGCTCAAGATTCAGACTTTTTGAGAATGCAAAGAAGTATTATGTGTTAGGAACAATTTCCTAGGTAGAGAGCAAAGATGCACTTCTGAGACAAGAAAATGCTCTGTGTTTTCCTATTTCATCTGTGTTGCTATTTTGGACATGGCTTTTTAAGCTAACTCTAATATCTCTGCATCCAGTGTCACTCAAAGCCAGAAGGATTGTGAAGTTCTGTTTCTTTTTCAAAGGATGTTTGTAATATACACAGCTGTTAAGGTGACGAAGCCATAAATACATGTGATGAACAGTGCAGCAATAGAAAACATTTGCTTTACAAATGTATGGCTTATTCTGGAAGGGAATTTATTCTTCAAACAGGCTCTCAATATGCTATAAAGCACAGACACCTAGATATGATGTTATTTGCCAAACTGACCTGGTTCCTGCTTTCATGAAGGACAACAAATGAGATCTCCCTCCCTTTCTGTGGGCCAACTCCTTGTTTTGTTTTCCTTCCTCCTCTTAAATAACATACTAGTTTAAACACAAACCAAGGCAGTTCAGAACTACCACAGGAACCATAGGAATCACCCATGATAGTCTATGTCCTGTGCTACATAAGTCAGAGTAGATGGACACACCAGGCTGTCCTTAAATCACAAGTTCATGGATTTCCAGCGGATGACGTATCAGACTATGATTAGATGAAAGAATTGAGCACCTCTTCTAGGCATTCAAAATGCAACCCAGCAACACACTACACAAGAAAAGAAAGCCTCTTGTAGGCAGCCTGCTGGAAAGTTACTGTTTTGATTTCTACAGAAACAGAAGATTTCATATGCGGCTCTTACAAAAAAATAATACAACTATACAAAAATAAACCAAAAAAAAGAAGCTATTTAACCTTTTCCAGGCTAAAGTAGATATAGTATCATATGTTCTGTTGAATTCACAAGTCATGTTTATATTTACTCAGCCTCAATAAATCATGTCTGACAGTTACCCTGTAAGTAATCTTTCTGTTTTAGAAAACTTACCCATTACAATTACAAATGCAAAACTAGCCAGTGTCAGTGATGATCCACTGTTGATCATGTTGATGAGCAGCTTGAATAAAGGATATAGCAGCAATAAGGCCCAGAAAAGCCAGTTCAAAAGCGTCCATGGTCGTCGGGGTGGTACTATAGGGACTGCTGGGTAGGTTCCTGTTCGGTAGTACTCTTCCTGGAATGCATCCTAGTAGAACAAAGGAGGGCAATAATTAAATTCCCATCTGCCAACAAAATCAGCCATTCCTGACTTTGATGTTCCTCTTTCTGCATGCCTGTAACCACGGGGGAAGATCAAAGACCAAGTCATGGCTGGAAAGCTTGTACTTTGAAGTCAATGAACACACAGTCAAAAAAAAGAGCTTACATTGATGTGTGCATCCTTTCTTTCTCCTACACACAGAAGCCTGAAAAATGGCATGCCTACAGAGTAGAACAAGCCCAGTAAAACAAGAAGGGTGAGGGGATGTACACTCCCTGCAGCAATGTAGACATCACCATTGAATCTCCTGCAAGGGCCACAGCCACTGGACAAATACCGCTGGTAAGCCAGAAAAGCGTTCGGGCTACATGTTCAGCAGCGGATCCTCTGTTCCCTAATGTTTTCTTCAACCACTGCTCTAAAACAGCATCTGCAGCCCTGTCAGAAAAGGTGAGCAGACACCATCTTGTCCTGTACTCCAAAGAACACCACCCCCTCCTGTCTGCTTTGTCCCATAGATGCAGTCTTGTTCATCTTGTTCCCATGAAGCTTACAGAAGGAAGTTTGGGTGCTGAACCTCTCTACAGACAGCTGAGCATGCAAACAGTTTAAAAATCTCTCACTGGTTTTGACCAAAGGACTCTCCCTTTTAGTATAATATGAGGAAGATAATGGGGTGGGGTTTGGGGTTTTTTGTTTTGTGGTGTGTGTTTTTTAAGGCACAGAAAACTTAAAATTCAGTACCTTCCTCTAGAGCCCATACGGGTGAACGGCGTTGCCTTTAGCAATGTGATCAACCCAAGATATCAAAGTGGGTGGGGGAAAAAACCCTTCCTTGTGGTTCAAAAGCAAAGATTATTAATCTGTTACCACATAAAACCAGTTAATTAACAAAGTCAGAATTAGACTCACATAAAAAGGAAACTCAATTTAGTCAGAATGAACTGCTAAATTTCTTCAAAGAAAGGAATGCTTCATGACAGTTTCCAAAAATTCTGGAAAAGCCAAGATTGTCCTAATCAACCACAAGAAGATTATTTCTACTATGGTATGATTTTACATTTACTTACACTCCAGCTGACACAGACAATTCTTTAATTATTTAATGGCAACTTGAGCAATTACAGGCTGCTACCATTTTATCTATTTCAAAGGGAACATTTAGCTTTTAAGAGATTACACAGTAATTAAAGCATTGCGCTCTTTTTATTGAGATTAGAAAAATGATGACTGTTTTGCGCATGTGAGCTAGACTGTACTGGGATCACTACAGCCAATTAATTTGCTGTCTTCAACAAATTACACAGTGTATGAAATTTTCTTTATGGTGCCTTGAGGATTTTGGTTTATGACTGGTTTAACACAGAGCTACTAATCATCAGTAAACTGAATTCTACTATATACAGTTAGGTTTCTAAATACCGGTATTACCCAGAAAAGTTAAGAATTTCTGACTATTATTGGTATCGCCATTAGGGGGCCTATTACTACAGACAGCAAGACAGACTCACTTAAAACAAGCACAGCAGTTTTCTCTTTGTTGGCTTTGCACAGCATTGGGGGCAGCAAAACCATTGACCACATCTCACCGAGAGGTTTGAGACAGATGGAAGAAATATACAACGGGCAAAACAATGTCAATGCCATCAGCTCCGCTACACGTTTTACACCGCTGTGGGGAACAGCTCTTCAATTCAGTTACGATTCCTTACCCTTAAAAACATTCACATTCCTTGCAGAAGAGATCTGTGGGTTGATCTGTCTTCTAAGCTTTTGCAAGGGTGCCTATGGTACCAATCAACAGCTCAAGTCAGCATTTAAACCCATGATGTACCTCAAAATTTCCCTCAGTCACCTTGCTCACATTAAGTTTCTTTCATTTCCCTGCAAACAGAGCTCGTGTTCAGTTTGTAATAAATCCCACCCACCCAAGTATCATATTCAGACATAGAAACATGCTCCCCCTCATGCCCCCACCAAATTTGAGTTACTTCAGACAGTCAGGTGGGTAATGCAGTAAGGTGAAATCAGGGAACATCCATCATCTTGTGAGAGGCTAACTGGATTCTTCCTCCCTGCTCCCACCAGGGAGGTCTGACGGCAGAGGTATGCCACTGCCCTTTCATGAGAAGCCCACAAAGAATGAGTATCCAAAAATATATCCTTTGTTCGCAAACACTGCAGTTCTGTACACTTCCCCTTTTCACTTATGCTTTGCTAATTCTCTAGAGCATTTCAGCATGTATTTTCATGCCATTTTCCATGCTTCTCTTACAAGTGAGAAAAGTTAGAAGCTCGCTTTCTTTTTAATGGAAATTAAGATTCTCAAGCAGAACTTCTATTGCAGGCGCTGAGGCTGTAAGGAGTTGAAAAAAGAAAACAAACATGCAAGGGCTAGCAGAGTTGTGACTATTACACAGTACCTCTTCAGACCAGGCACTAAGATGCTCAACCCGATCCTTGTTAAAGTGAAAGGGAGTCTTTCTAGCAATAGCAGAAGAAGGGAAAGGGAAAGGGAAAGGGAAAGGGAAAGGGAAAGGGAAAGGGAAAGGGAAAAAGGAGGCAATGTGCAACCCAAATTGCACCTCTGTCACAATTTGGCATTAACTGATACAGTGCTGGCCTTCTGTGGAAGGACAAAATTCACCCCAGGAAGAAGCACATAGAAAAGGAAGGAGAACAGTATTTGGTTTAGAACAGCACAGTGCCATTGTTTATCTGGCAAGGCCCTGTTCATTGCATTTGAAGCAGTAGCTAAACCAGAAAATGAAATGATAAGTAGCAAGAACATAAACACACCAGATTCCCAGAGAGCAGTATCTCAGACTGAGGTACATGTAACTGAGATCAGGCAATGAGGTAAAAAAAAATGGAACAACCTTTTCTCAAAGACTCTCACTCCTTTACTAATGACAATTAAAAAAAAAAAAAGTAGTCACGTTTCTTCATGTCCACTAACTGCTGATTTCAATACTCATTCAAAACAGCTTTATGTCCCTGATCATCACAAGTGCACTGCACTCCAGCCTTGACCTTAGTACCTGTGGCACGCCCTACCTACTAAATCATGCTATTAGAGCATAATTCAGTGCACAGTATGTAAGTCCTGGGAAGGTACTGCAAAATTATGAAAATCATTGAGAATAAGCAACAACACATGCAACCATAATGCAAGATAAAATAGGGGCTCTGTTTTTCAGTAGCTTGCATACCTTGTCTTTGAAACAGAAAGTGGAGTGCTACAACCAAAATAGACAAAGCAGGGGATGAGTGCATATCTTGTAATGAATTACTGCCCTTTGAATACAGAATTGTTACATTTTATCATAAATATTTACTGACTCAAGACATTAACCTGAAACAGAACTCATTTTTGGAAACAACACCTAGGTGGCAATGCTGCTTGTTATCCAACCTAAGACCCAATTATCTTTTTAAAGACGCATGGCAGAAAGGTGAAACAGAAGTGCGTTTTTACCCTGCAGGTGGCCTTTCATCATCTCAGAACTCTTGAAGAAGTTGTCCCTGCTCTGTATTCTCCCACTCTGATTTTACAGAGACATGGGCTTGTGTAAATCAGGAATGACTGCAATGAAATTACAGTTTCACTAATGTAAAACAGCTGGAGGAAGAGGAACATGCCACCTTCAGAAAAAAACCAAAACCACTACCAAACCTAAAAAAAACCTAACCAACCAAAAAAATGCCACACGACCAAAAAGGTCTTAATGGAAAGGAAAACCGAACACGCATTCCTTCCTCCTGTACTTAAACAGGAAACTATGGATTTAACCAACCAGCAAACTAAGTTGTTCTGAAGAAAGCAGGATAGATGTATGCTCTGTTTGTACTAAAAATAACTGAGTGTTTGCCAAAGAGGGAATAACAGAAAAAACCTGAAGTGATTTACTGCAAACTATGTAATAAGGGATTCAGGAAAACAATCACCACATTCCCATTTGATTTATGTTCTTGTCTTGTAAATGTTTAAACATTTCTTAGGAACATGAAACAGGGTTACAGATAAAGTCACAGTAGCAGAAAATGGACTTTTGCAATGTTCAGCAAAAGGTCCATTTGCATATATATGCCTGTAGAGAGAGCACGGGCCCATAGGTAACATAATGCCTTTCTGCAGAAAGGTGTTAGGGGTCACGTCTGAATTAGGTGTTAGTGGCACCATTACAAGAAGGGAAATCAGAGGCAAAACTAGTAGATCTACAACTGAGGTCTCAACACACATTTACTTTTCACATTCCTCTAAGCAAGCTGCTTAGAGGGGCTATGAATTAAACCAGAAATAGTCATGGTTTGAAGCCAAGAAAGACTAGAACATAGTCAATACAGAAATGCTAACATGGTGTTCTGGGTGGAGTACAACAAATGGCACAGCAGAAGTTCGCTGCCCCAGTGAGAGGAAACCAAAGCATAACTATATTCTATCACTTCTAGATCCAAAGCACTGCTGTATTCCAGTCTGAATACATAACTGACATCAATTTATTAAAGCAAACTGAGCTGCCAGGCCCTCATGCCTTGCATACCTATGACTCCCACTGATTGAAATGGGAGTGCTGCGTGTATTCAAAGAGCACATCCCCCAACCATTATCTCCTGTGTTCATAAAAACAAAACCTATGAGAAACAGATTCTCAAAGTCTGAAGGATGCATATGAAAGTATTTGGGGGGAAAAACAAAACAATCAGCAGGCATCTACAAACACACAGTCATTATTATTCTGCCCCCTGTGCTGGTTTTGGCTGGGACAGAGTTAATTTTCTTCACAGTAGCTGGTATGTGGCTATGTTTTGGATTTGGGCTGAAAACAGCATTGATAATACAGGGATGTTTTTGTTATTGCTGAGCAGTGCTGACACAGAGTCAAGGCCTTTTCTGCTTCTCACACCACCCCACCAGCGAATAGGCTGGGGGTGCACAAGAAGCTGGGAGGGGGCACAGCCGGGACAGCTGACCCCAGCTGACCAAAGGGATATTCCACGCCATATGACGTCATGCTCAGCATCTAAAGCCAGGGGAAGAAGAAGGAAGGGGGGGACGTTCCGAGTGATGGCGTTTGTCTTCCCAAATCACTGTTATGTGTGATGGAGCGCTGCTTTCCTGGAGATGGCTGAACGCCTGCCTGCCGGTGGGAAGCAGAGAATGAATTCCTTGGTTTGCTTTGCTTGCGTGTGCAGCTTTTGCTTTACCTATTAAACTGTCTTTATCTCAACCCATGAGTTTTTTCACTTTTACCTTTCCAATTCTCTCCCCGACCCCACCGGTGGGGAGTGAGCGAGCGGCTGTGTGGGGCTCAGTTGCCAACTGGGGTTAAACCATGACACCCCCATCCTATGTAGTTAGGAATCTTAAATGCACGCCTTCTATGCACGCAATGTGAAAGCAATTTATCAGCCTGTCCTATTAATGCTGGATCTTTGCCTTGGTAAAAAAGACAGGCTAAAACAAGGGACAAAAATTTTAATACACTGAAGCAAAATATACCTCATTTAGCCCACAAATTACTTCTTGATTTAGGATGTGCCTTGAAGGGGAGGTAGTTGTGTTTTCTGTATCCTTATGCAATTTTCTAAAGAAGAGTTTTAAAAACTACTCTATCGAGGCTTGCTTAAGTTTTCTTCCTGTTGCTCTTTAAGTACAAAAAAAAGGCAATCATGACTGACAGCACAAGACCAGTTTGTGTCTGGAGAAACAGAGGACTTACCCTGAAAAACAAACAAACCAACCAACCCCAAGCCCCCAGAGAGGGACCACTACACATGCACACTGTAAAGGTCTACTAGCAGTATAAATAACTGAGCACTAGTGGCTCGCAAGTGCTGTCTAGACAAAAAACCAACCTTTTCTTGATACAGTTTGTGGAGCCAGTTAGAACATTCCTGC